TATGGTACAAGAAAACTCACATGTTTCCTTGGTGATCTTAATGCTATATCAGATGTCGTATCTACTTTCATCTTTCTACATGTGATTTTTTGTATAAGAGTATAGTGTCCGCATAGAGAAACTTCATAAATATATTACGTTCATAGCGTTTACAATTTCGCAAACGCTATCATAAATGTAAGGTTAAGTACAAAAAAAGGGCTAGAGACTACTCAATAAAAAAAATACTTAAGGATTCTCCGGTGAGTTCAATTCCTACTGGATGCACGCCAATGGGACCCGGTCATTTAGGGGCCTTAGCTGGTGATCCGGGCTGTTTCCCTCTCGACGATGATATAGCAGAACCACACCAATTTCTATCTTCTAATGCTAAGGATACTCACTATTCTTGTAGTGTACTGACTAGTTTTATAATTATTTGATTGACTAGATTCTTGCAGACATGGTAGCCAATGCGATGCTAGTATCAATGGCTGTTCGGGCTGGTAGACGGAAAGAGATGATTTATCATGTGAGTTCTTCAATCAAAAATCTATTAAAATGAGATAATGTCGGAGATAGCATACATGTATTTCTCAAACAAACCATGGACCAAAAAAGAAAGGATGGTGATTCGGGTCAATAAAATAAAGGTTTTGAGTTCTATGCCTAGTTTTCATAGGTACGTGACCATTCATTACTTACTTCCTTTGAAGGTAGTATTTCGAACCATCTGTCATGTGGTGAACTTATATTTTAAGACAAGGGTCCAGGAGATGGGACTAGCAAAAGGGTAAACTGGACATGGTTAGAGTTATTACGGATCCTAAAGAGGAAGCAAAATTCACTGTTAGCAAGCTATTACTTGGAGAATTGTGGCTGAAAGCAAGCAGAGTTCCGTACGAAAAGGACTATGATGATATTGTCCTCTTATGCTAATTTATTATGTATGAGTTAACGTACTTAACAAAAAAGTATCTGCCAAATTCTCTATTATTCGTCTATTATTCCTCTACCTCTAAACCACCAAAAAATAAAATCTATAATATAGATAATTAATGGGATAATAAGAAGTTTAGATCTCAGTCAGTTGGTAACAATACCAATATACCATGTGCCACATATTTCAAATCTAAAGAAAGGAAAATTATCTAATGTGTTGTCATAATGCTGTTCAAATCAAAACTAAATTATTTTCTTACTAATTAAAATGGTCAACTAATCAACAAAAAAAATATTGAACAGTTTGACATATTGCTAATAAATTAAATCATTTTAGTATGGTATATAATCTATTAGTATTTAATTTTGAAGATATTTTATAGCCTATATAAATCTCACTTAAGTTCCAAAAAAACATAGAACAAGAAAAATGGTTGCTTATGTCGATAAAAACTTTTCACCAGCTTGTTTACTGGTTTTACTTCTTTTTGTTCTCTCATCATATGCAAAGTTTAGTACCATGGTTACAACAGATGAGATCCGCACCTTATGCACCAAAGCAGGTGTCAAATCTTCATTGTGTTTTGAGGTTCTAAAAGCAACTCCTGAAATTGCTAGACTAGATTTTTCTGGTCTCGCCAAATATTTGATCAATTATCATGCTCAAAATATTTCGGATACGCTGAAGCAATTTAAATTATCAAGAGGCTATATACCGGATATTGATCCTGAATATCGCATATGTAAAGAATTATATAAAGATGCTCTCGACAAATGTCCTTATGCCCTCAAATATTTGGCTGCCAAAGACTATTTAAACTTCAAAAATATGGTAGCTCAAACGATGGGAGATATGAATAATTGTATTTATGATGATTTGTCAACAATGAAGCCAGTACCACAATTTTTTATAACGAAAACTAATGATATTCAAGAAATTGGTTACATTATCATAGTATTTGTCGATTGTTTCATACTAAATAAACCAATAGACTGTGGTAATTCTCGCGATCTATAATTATAATAATATTTTGTATGGTTCTTGTCTTTATCCCTAAAAAAGTAATAAAGATGTAAGAATTTGAATTATGATTTTATCCTTCTCATTTATGTTTCGAAAATAGCAAATGCACCTTACGATAATCAATCCTAGGGCTAGTTCAATCTAGTTAGATTCTCAAACCATTTTGCTACTTTAACATTTTGACAGTATCGTCAATTTTATTCATGTATTGTAGATATTTATAAGAACCTAAAAATCTTTTTTACCCCGTAAGCACTGGTTAATCCCCGCCTACACCATTTAAGTGCTAGACTACCTAAGAATAACACCTTTCGTTTCAATGAGTTTATCGAATAGAACTAATAACTGCTCACTTTCTTACATGCATAATGTTTTTTCTTTATTCTAAAACATGAATACGCACAGTTATTAGTATTATATTGTGTGCTTAATTAGACTTTGTTTTCTTTAACATATTTCCGTGTATGTTGTGCAAGATGCAAAAAATCTCTTTAAGTAATTAAGTTTCCTTTCAATCTCATGTCATTAGGCTTTTTTAAAATGTGAACGAATTGAAGATTCTTTAAATCCTTTAACAAAGGGAAAAATATTCCTTAAAACAAAACAGGTTGGAAAAATAAAAAAAGATTGACAACAAATATTCCAATATTGGTTTTAACAAGTGGTAATACTTCATATATAGTAGAGGAAAGTTGGTCATGACCATCGAGAAACATGTAAACAGGCCATGTGATGTAATTTGAAGATGCTAATTCGGTCATATTCAACATATTAAGAATGAGCAGGGGATTTTTTTTGGGCATGTATAGGTTGGACAGAGCATCTGAGGTGTTACGTTGAGTAGCAGACATGAATTTGACGTAACGAAAAGAAGGACAAGAAAATGTGAGATAGTGATTAATCATAGCAACTCTGATTGTAACGCCCCGACCACCACGCCTCTCTTAATGGGCCTCACGTCCTCTTTCGGGTCCGTGGGCCATCCGTATCCGATACGTACGTGAGACTTTAAAACAGTAACCTCTTTTCTTATATACTCTTCAATAGTTACCTGAGTATAGGCTCGAGAATTATCTTTGTTGATTTATGTAAATTTATGTGTATGATATAGTTAGGTCGTTAGTAACATGATACAAGAAATGCATTAGTGACATGATTTAATATCATTCTTAACGTACATTAAATTATAAAAATATTATATATAAGTATATGAGAAGAGAAAACTAAAGAGTATGTGAAGGATACTTGAGGAGGTTGGATTGTAATGGACCGACTGGTTCATATACATGTCATTAAGTGTTGTAGAGCAATAAGGGGAAGGATCGAGTTACGGGTCGTGGTCTTCCATAAGTAGGCTTGAGTAGCCATGAGATAAAAGAGGCTCGAGTATTCATAAGTTAAAATACTTAAAACTAAAAATGAATGTAAAATATCTTGTAGTGAGCAAGACGAATGCATGTTTGTTTGATTGATAGACATTCTGAATCTATGCTAAGTAATGATTGTTATGTCCATTGGGCAGAGTTGATCTGCTCACTAAGTAAACTTGTTTTACTCACTCCTTTTTTTCTTTTTTCTCCAGGTTAGTAAGTTTCAAAAGTTACTGGTTGAAGTTTGTTCGTTGGTGAAGGAAAAATATGGACCAAATTTAAATCTTATTTTGGAGAAAACTACTATTGTGAATGGAGACATTGGCTTTGACGATTTGGGTCTTCATCATATAGACCCCGAGTTAGAACATCAGATGGTCCACCAACTTGATGCCATTATTAATTTAGCTGCAACTACTAATTTTGATGAAAGGTAAAATATTATAACATTCAATTTTTTGTTATTACTAGGAAATAAATTTTGCCTATATATCACCGACGCTAAAAGATGTTGTATGTAAGGATTGATATTAGGTCGCTTATTAAAATGATTTAAGAAACGCTTAGTACGTAAGGAATTCTAATATTATTGTGAAACCAATATACTCCCTCCGTCCCACAAAGATACATATTTTAGAAATTTCACATTCTTTAAGAAATAATGTATAAAGACAATTTTAACCTTTTAACCTTTTAACATATTTTAAAAAGTATATTATTTATTGTTGTTTAATAAGGGTAATTTTTTTTTTGATAGGAATAAGGGTAAAATAGGTAAACTGTTTTAAATTTGACATTGAGAACACAAAATTTTTATCTATGTGGGACAAAAAAAATTTCTAAAAAATCCATCTTCGTGGGACGGAAGGAGTACATGTTATCAATCAATTCCGAATTTAATATTTAGCCGTCTATATAGATACTAGATAGTATCTATTCTTCATTATTAAATATGGTGTCTATCATAATTTATGGAGTTCTAATAATTCAAATCCAATTAGTATCAATAAATTGGTTCATATCATTTATAGATTTTCTTACCAGAACTTAAAAAAAAAAAAACCAATCAGCATCATCGTCATATCATTTATCATAGATTTTCTTTTTCAAAAGTTTTTTATTAAAAAAATCATATTTGAATTTTATAACAATGTCAAACTTTAAGATATGTTAATCAATCACAGATATGATGTAGCACTAGGGATCAACACATTGGGTGCCGCCTATGCCCTAAACTTTGCCAAGAGATGTGCTAAGGTCAAAGTCTTTGTTCATGTGTCGACAGGTATATATATATACACAAAATTGACAAATAATTCTTTTTTTTTTTGTTTGTTTAAGTGAACTGACAAATACTTCGTGTGTTGTTAGATCGCAAATGAAGTATATACGTCCAGCAAACTTCATTTCCTTGACAACTTTCCAACACTTTTGAGACAATCTTTTAGCATTTATCGTTCATGTTCTTGTCTGTTTAAAACCGAATAGTCTAATAAATTTCAGTTTTATTTCGGCTTTTTAATTCATGATTTTAAAGTCCAAATCCAAACCGAGCAAAATTTGGCACCCGTTTTCAACTTGACCAGATATTGAAAAAATATTCTAAATCAAATCTGATCCATAATTTAATTTCTAATAACATTATTATGTATATATATAGCTTATGTATGTGGTGAAAAATCGGGATTGGTAATGGAAACGCCATACCGTATGGGTGAGACGTTAAACGGAGCCATCGGCCTAGATATCAATCAAGAGCAGAAGTTGGTTAGTGAGAAACTTAGCCAGCTTCAAGCAACCGGAGCTTTGCCCGAGACCATTACACAAGCCATGAAGGATTACGGACTTAGAAGGTGATCCCTATTTACATTTTAGTTTTGTTACCATACTATTTTGAAAATAAACTTGAGGAGGATTATGGTTCATAACTATTATTTTCAAACGAAATTGCTAATTTGGGAGGGGGACAATAGTACACCTGAAAAACGGGTATCATATATTTTTATATATTGGCCAATGAAAAAGAATTATGAACAATCTTTTTACCAAAGAGAATTTGTGAATGTTATGAAAATTTAAAATTTCGTTATATTGAAAACATATTTAATACTACCAAAAGATATCTCGAACCAATATATGTTATAAACAATAACATACTGTCTTAAAAACTTTTTGATACTGTATGAAACTTTACGAAAACTTATTACAAATTTGAAAACTTGTAAACCTATTTTAACAAAAAAAAAATCATTGTAAAAGCTTTCAAAAATATATGAAATCTTTCGCAAATTTGCTAAAAAATTATGTTTCACATTTCAAGGAACACAAGATGAAACATCGCCACCAAAATATAAAATTTAAAACATATGACCAATATTTGTCATCTTTTTGATATTTCCGTGAAGAAAATACAATAATATGAGTTCCTAAATAAATATGAGAGCATGATATAGTATTTGAGAATATTGATTTGTTACCTCATCGTCTAATAAAATTCTAAAATCTTCGGTATATCTATAATTTATCAAATAGGGCAAAGATGTACGGATGGCCAAACACATACGTATTTACGAAAGCAATGGGGGAAATGATAGTAGGGGTAAAAAGGGAGAATATGTCGGTCGTGATAATTCGTCCTTCAATTATTACCAGCACCTTCAAAGAACCATTCCCCGGCTGGACCGAGGGCATCAGGTAAATTAAGTTAACAAAGATTAACTGACTGATATAAGTCTTTGACAAAAGTAAAGTAACGACTTTATAATGTATAGGACAATTGATAGTCTAGCTGTTGGATACGGTACAGGCAAGCTCACATGCTTCCTTGGTGATCTTAATGCTATTTCGGATGTGGTACATACTTTCATCTTTCTATATATATGTGACTTTCTTGTATAATATCATAGTCTCCACATAAAGAAACTTCATAAATATGTTACTGGGTTGTTTTTATTTGATACGTTTGACGTTTTTGATGGACCAGATACCTGCGGATATGGTTGTTAATACAATGCTAGTATCAATGGTTGCTCACGCTGGTGGACAGAAAGAGATGATTTATCATGTGGGTTCTTCAATGAAAAATCCATTCAAAAATGAGAAAATGCCGGAAATAGCATACCGGTATTTCACAACGAAACCATGGACCACCAAAGAAGGGAAGGTGGTTCGGGTCGGGAAAGTGGATGTTTTGAGTTCTATGCCTAGTTTCCATAGATACATGACCATTCATTATCTACTTCCTTTGAAGGTAATGTTTCTGACCATTTGCCATGATTTAAATTTATATTTCGAATAATCAGCAATTTCCTAATTATATGTATGGTTTATTCTGGTCTATAGGGACTTGAGTTACTGAACATGGTATTTTGTAAGTCGTTAGAGAAGAAATTTAGGGATCTTAGTAAGAAGATAAATTTTGTATTGCGGCTTGTGGATCTCTATTAGCCTTACCTCTTTTTCTATGGAATGTAAGTGTTATTTTTTTTCTAATCTCAATTTGGCTTTCTCCTTTTGACCTGACCCACTACAGTTACATATATGTAGCATATAGATATTCGAATAACTAAATTACATATACACGCAGATTCGATGATACAAATACGGAAGAACTGCAAAAACTATTGCCAGTGACAGGAGTGGAGACCGACATTTTCTATTTTGATCCGAAGATTATCAATTGGGACGACTATTTTGTGTATACACATATTCCTGGGCTGGTTAAGTATGTCTTCAAATGATTTTATATATTATTCGTATATTTTTCTTATTCTGGCCCAAGGAATATATATGTGATTAAGTATGCTAAGCCAACGTACTTGCTTTGTTTTTTTTTTGGCAACGACAACTGTACTTGCTAAGACCATGATATTCTCATATTCATCATTACATGTCAGTATAGGCATGGACAAAAATATGGATCCACATAGAACCGAACCGAACCGAACCGAAATTGATGGGTTCGGTTCTGGATCTATTGAGAATATCGATTGGATCTTGAATCAAATATCCATGGGTATCGGTTCGGTTCGGGTAGGAACCGATATCCATTCGGGTACCTGAAAAATATAGCCCATTAACCTATATTTATATAACCCAAAGTTCCAAACCCATCAAATCCTAAACCTAACTACCCAAGCCCAATAGCCTACCATAAACCTAACACAAAGTCTCTCTTAGCCTCTTATATATTCCTCTCTGCACCCAAACCTAAAAACCCTACTTTGTTCTCTCTTTCTCAAAGACAGAGAGCAGACAAAAACTCTCTCTTGTGTTTTGTGGTATCTTTAAAACTTTGGATATCTTTTGACCTAATACTTTCCAAGTTTCAACTATTTTTTGGATTTGTAATGGTATAATGACTAATATGTGATGTTGTATTGTATACTTACATAATTGCATTTGAATTTTGCATTGTGATTCTATTATTATTTTCGGTTTAAAAAATACCCGAAACAATTTGGTTCCTACTCGGTTCCAAAATTTATTACCCGAACCGAACCGAATAGGAACCGAACCGATTTTGATTTGGTTCCAATATGGTTCCTAAATCTCAGAACCAAAATACTAGGAACCGAATGGTTCGGTTCTAGAACCGAACCGAATACCCAAACGCGTATATACTGTTTGTTCTTCATATAATAATGAGTACAATATACAGTAAAACTTCTATAAATTAATACTCAATAAATTAATAATCTCTATAAATTAATAAATTCTCTGGATCCCGAGTTGGGACTAATGTAAAAAATGACTTAAATCGATAAATTAATAAAATAATAATTTTTTTGAAATTCTTATGTAAACATATGGTCCCATCAATATCATAAATTAATAATTGTATAAACTTCAATTCGTAATATCTTTATATATATTATAATGTAAAATATTTAGTGAATTATGACTCTGCTATTATTTTTCTTGAGCAATACTTGGATTCACCCCTAAGGGTGAATCCTTTTATTCATCCCCTTCTATTTTAACCAATCAAAATTCGCCACATAATAAAAAAAAATCATTTAATTATTAAATTTAATCCTTAACCACTCTTTTGTAAACTCAAACCGATGTATAATCTCGTTTAATTACAAATCTAAACCCTAATTCTCCTTTGTAAAACCCAAACCGTCATTTAAACTCGTTTAATCGTAAAAAATCTAAACCCTAATCGTACTTTCTAAACCCAAACCGACATTTAACCTCGTTTCATTGTACAATCTAAATCTGTTTAAAACCCAAACCGATATTTAACCTCATTTAATCATAAAATCTAAACCCTAATCGTACTTTCTAAACCCAAACCGATATTTAACCTCGTTTAATCGTAAAATCTAAATCCGTTTATAAACCCAAACCGATATTTAACCTCGTTTAATCATAAAATTTAAACCCTAACCCTTTCGGAATAAACCCAAACCGATACACAATTTCGTTTTAGTGGCAAATTAGATTTTATAATTAAATAATTTTTTTTATTATTATTAGGTGGCAGATTCTGATTGGCTGAAATAAAATGGGTGAATATAAGGGTTCACCCCAAGTATTTTTCATTTTTCTTTTAATTTACACTAATTTTAGGTAAAGTTTATTTTTAACATTTTTACTACATCAAAAACTTTTTTTGTTGTTATCTAGACATAATAATTTTTTATTCTTTGTAACTGGTTTAGAAAATAATGATTATAAAGCAATTTCAGACAAAAAGCTTTTTTAAATTACAAAATTAGCCGAAACTCTCTATAAATTAATACCTTTTATAAATTAATAGAATTTCACGGTCCCAACACTATTAATTTATAGAGGTTTTAGTGTAGTCTACATTTCTTAGCTACCTTCTACTTCAATGATAACTTTTTTTTTTATCTCAATATTAATTTATCGCAACCTCTAGCTCGAAAATGTCCATCTTGCCTGCAAGTTAATTGTGTTGAATGCGACTAATTATTGTTAGAAATCTGCTAGCTATTATATGATGTGTTAGTATATTTACCATTTTTGACTATACTTCTCATTGTGAAATCAATGTTTTATCGAGTCTTTTTAATAGTTATTGTGTCGTTTCAGGTATAAAAAGTGTTTAGACTAAGATTGAAGTTTTATTTTATGCAAACCGGAAAAAAAACAAGGAAAATAAGGAAATCGATCACTTGTTAGGCAACACATTTTTGTTTTCCAGATTTCAGCTGTCAGATTCAAGTTTCGGAGAGACTCTAACCCTACATCTTTTGAAAAAAAGATGTAGTTATGAAATTTTGTTCATTGGTGTGTTTAATTATTCTTTCAAGCTTACTAAAAGATGAACATACTAAATGATGCATAGAACAAATAGAAGTCGAAGACCTTGATTCTTAGAGAAACTTTTTGCAGCAAAATTCATTTAATGTAACCTTTGTCCACATAAATTTGATCCCATTTTGTTTTCGAGTCTCTGCCTTGCCGTAGGAGACTCTACTTCTCCTTTTTCCGGTAAAGCTTTCAAGAAGGTGATTCGTCCCTTGTTTCGGCATCTCTTTACCTATATCATTAAACCCTCTTTGAGACGTGGCTTTTTAGACTTCAGTCCTTATCTGAGACATCGGAGATGCTGAGGAAAGCGGCGAAGCTGATGCATATAAGACGGTGGAGTTCGGAGATAGGTGGAGAAAGCCGGTTGAGTTTTAAGCAGTGGCCCTCTCTTCGAGTGATCGGTGGTCTTGTGCATTGTGTGCTCCTTTGGTTGATTTTCTTAGTTTTATGAGAAGTCTTTTTTAGTTTTTATGACGTTAGTGTTTGTCTTTATAAAGAAAACATACACGATTATAACTCTCGACCTCTCCAAATAATTTAGTTGTCCTATTGTTTTCTTACTTAAAACGCATACAATGTGGACTAAGGAGATCGTAAGTGTTCTTCAGTATCTTGACAACAAATCTATATTGGTGATCGGAGCTACTGACTTGGCCCACACAGCTGTGGTCCAGTGGTAGTTGAGAATTGGGGAAAGGTTGGAAGGAACTAACCCAGGTTCGATCTACGCTGGAAACAAAAAACACATTTGTGTGGGAAGTCTGGGCTTGGGCCAAAAAACTCAAACAGTTTACCTGGTAGTCCAATAACAGGCGATCTGGTTACCTTCCTATCATTAGTCGGAAAGTATTAGTCGGCAATAACGCTTCTATAAATTTTGTAACGTCCATTAATTAGTTTTTTTTTTTTTTTACAAGGGGTATTTGCTAATTAACAAATCCTTTGAATTGATTTTGGTCATATATATTAAATAAGTAACACGTTTATTTGTTAGGAAAGTACCACTGAGTTGATAAATTAACATTTGTGGATACAGTTTGCTACGTACAATTATCGGAAATTTTGTAAAATTAATTACATGCATGCATGTATTTTTGTAGATCATCGGATTAGTAATGTAAGGTCGTAAATGTACAAATGTGTCCTTGTAGCGTGTTATTTTTGTTGTCGATTGGATTTAGATCATTTAAAAAAAATTCACCTCTCGGGTTAATTTTAATAGTAGGAAATACTGTAACTGCGCGTGGAGTCAATTTCATTCAGAAAAAAAAGAGAATCAATTTCATAAAGAGGATGAAAGCAATATCAACATCGAAGCAGCTGGATCGACATGTGTTCAAAAATAAAATAAAAACTTTTTTGTTTATCAAGAAGATATACATTAAACTTCAAATAAATATTGTTTTTTTTTTCTTTTGAAATTTGTAATAAGTATTGTTAGTTGTTCTTAACTCTTATGTTAGCTTTCTTTTAACTTGTATGCAGTTTTTGTGGAGAAGATACTAAGGTTGCACCAAACTTGAGGAAACTATATCTTCTTCTTAGAGCATCAGACGAAAAATCTGCTACTGATCGAGAGGTTCAACAAAGAGGTTTAATATCCACTTTTTACTACAATTTGCTAATTACTTTGATTAACTAGACCAAACACCTTGTTATTCAAAATAAAATATTGCTAGAAATATTTTAAAATTGTAATGTACCTACATTTAAATAATATTGCTTCAGTATGAATATTGAAAATGATACTTCGAGTTTTTAGGAGCTTATGTCCAAATATTGTAAATAAATATAAGTATCGATCTTAGAGCGATGCTAATTAATAGAAATGTTATAACCTTGAATTGTTCCAAATGTCTGTAGATTTTGGGAAAGGACTTGTTTTGAGGTGGTGAAGAAAAAGTATGTGATCACTATTGTGAATGGAGACATTTTCCTTGATGATTTGGGCCTTCATCATCAAGACTCCGAGTTGGAACATCAGATGGTCCACCAAGTAAATTAATACTATTATAACCAAATTTTATTCTTATCAAAATTTAAGAAAAGAAAAAATAAATTATAAGTGAAATTTCTAATAATGTGAAACTTAAAAAATGTTAAATTAATCACATATGTACCACTTGGGATCAACACATTGAGAGCTACCAAAGCCCCGAATTTTGCCAAGAGATATCCTAAAGTTTAAGTCTTTGTTCATGTTTCCACATGTATACACACATACTCACACAAAATTGACAAATAATTAATTTTCTTGAAAAAACTTAGCCAGCTTCAAGCCACCGGAGCCTTGAC